GGAGGAGGAGGGAAGACACATACCCTGGTCCAAGCACAAACTCACCACCAAGCTGCGTGGCATCGCCTCCCCGCTCCCACACGGGCATCCCCACGCGCAACGCGTGCGCGACGACCATTGCCAGACCGCTCACTGCACCATGTCGCACGTACGACCTTGTGCCGTGCGGTAGACTCGGGCTGCGCGCCTTCTGTGTACCAGACGGGACGTGACTCATTCCGAAAGTTCGATACAATGCCTGGCCTGGCGACGCATCTACGAAAAGCTCATAAGGCAAGCGGAAGATCTCTGTAAGGGGAAAGAGCGCATTAAAGTGAGAGGAGCACGCTCAAGGGGGTATGGAGGAAGTCTCTACGCACGTCGATAGGAACGGATGAGCCCGTACGACCCACACCCGACCACGATAAGACGAACGCCAGATCTCAGAAGAGCAACATGATCTACATCGCGCATGAGCGACGTGAGGTAGTCCTGACACATGGGGCACCTGCACGATTACAAAATGGGTTAAGCACGCGTTACATACAGATGGACCTCAAAAAAAACAGGGGGGGCGTGCATACCAGAAGTGTCGGATAAAGATAACCACGGTACGTTGCGTGCGCCAGAGCTCACCAAATTGCAGGCGCACCCCATTCTCGCGTACGACTGGCAAGCGCGCGGCGTGCGCAAGTTGGCTAGAACTCAAGACTCCTGCCGGCCCAGGCTCAGAAAGCGAACGTGGGTGTCCGTGATGGTGGTGGGGGGGATGGTGGTGATGACCGGGATGGTGGTGATAGGGTCCGTGCCTCTCTGACGTGTGAGGGCTATGCTGGCCATGCGATGACGAAGGCGAAGCGTCCCGACGTCGCATTTGAGGTGCAGACGCTGTTGACATGTTGTCAACATGCGAAGAACTCGAAGATGTTGATTGTATGACGCTTGAGACCGAGGCATGCCCCATACGCGATGGCAGTGTTGCAGTCTGCGCGGTGCGCGGAGGAGGTGGGGGTGGGGGTGGGGATGGGGATAAATGAGTTATTTGCGATGGAGGTAAGGGGTGCGTGGTGTGTACAACTGGAGCAGTGGATGCATGCGCAACACGCGAGGGTGCTGCCGCGCCCGCAGGAAGACTGGCGTGTGAAGCCGTAGACGGTGCCACATGAGCGACATGCAAAGTCGGCGGTGACACGCTGTGGGTTGTTAAAGATGGCGCCGGGGGAACGTACTGGTTTTGCCCACGCGTTAGTCCGTGACCATGTGCACGAGGGGGAGGCGTCGGGGGTGAGTCTATGATCGGCTCCGGATGAGTGGTGACAGTAGGTGGGCTCGGTAGAGGACGCGACAATGGCAGGGGCGTCGAGGTACTGCGCCCCCCGATAGCCTTGTGAGAGCCCCAAGATTGTGAGCGCTTTTTCGGCGGGAGTGCGGGCTCTGGCTCCGGTTCTGGTTTCACCTCAGGCCTTAAAGCAACATGCCGAACGTTGCCTGCACCTTGCGTATGCGACGCGGGTTGAACGCTGTCCATGTTTTGGAGTGGGAAGGCATGCACACCGCGGGGTGCATGGGCGGCTGGCGACTCAGTACCACACACCTGGTCCCCCAGCTGTCCAGCAGTGCGCTGGTGTACTGCTTGCTCCTTCGACGCCGATCCTGGAATTCCCCCTGCTTGCTTCTTTGAGGATAATACCGCCATGCTCTCCACCACGATGACTGGCCCTTGCGTGGCCGCCGGGAAAGCAGCGGCCGGTGGAGGCGCGGCAATAGACCCATCTTCAGAAGCAAGCCGGTCCGCGGCATCTGCAGCTGCTTGTAGTTTACTGCGTAACGATGATGAGGCACTGCTTCTCCGAACCTGTAACGCTGACGATGTACGTGCACGCAACCGAGCGAAACGCCCAGCCTCACGGTCTACGGACTCGGGTTCTGATTCAACCGATCGCTCCTGTTTCGGAAAACGGAAGTTAAGTTGGAGGGGTAAGGCGTCTAAGTCTTCTGGTGGCGTTGATACGCGACGGGAGATTGAGATACTGGGAGGGAGAGGGAGAGAACCACCTGAGGGTGGTGAAACAGGGACTGTCTGATGGGTGGGAGAGGTCAGGGGTGAAGTGGTGAATGGCGCTAGGGCGGCAGGTGGAAGGTTAATGTGCGCAAGGGGAAATGATGAAAGCGCGGTGGATGAGGGTAAAGAGACAGGACGAGAACTTCGAACTGAACTTGGTGTCTGTGGGCGTGAGGGGGCCGAGTAAAAAGCCAAGTCGCGGGACCATGAATCGATTGAGGACGCTGACGGAGTCCGTTTCTCGAGAGGAAGTGGAAGGGAGGAGAGTGGAGGGCGCGATTGAGGATTTTCTGGACGTTCTTCGGTCCCTCTGGTGGCAGGCATGTCGACTTGCATGACATGCATATTCTTGTGTACAGGTACCACATCTCCAGAATGCTCTGGCACACCATCAAGCAGCACCGCAGATACGAACGAACTACATGAACGGGGTCGTGAAGACGTCGCGACTGCCTGTCGTACCCTGACCATGGAGTCCCCTGACGAAGCAGAAGACGATGTGAGCACACTCGCGCTGCTACCACATGGCGATAGCGAGTGTCGCCTGGACGGCGGCTCGACTTTGGGCAGGGGCTCTGGCGCAGCCCGTGATTCCAGGAAGGAAAATGTGCCCGAGCGCAACGCAAATACCGACTGTGAGCGACGCCGCGACTCATGGCGTGCACCTCCCTCGTACCTGGCCGTGGTGTGGTAGAAGAGATCGTCGCTATCATTGGGACTTCGCCGTCGGTAAATGGGTGTAGTCCAAGGCCCATAGATGCCCCCTTTCGCAGCTGGGGTGCATGTCCAAGCCAGCGACTTTCCCCAAACGGAAGCCTCGGCGCTGAAGACTTCTTTCGTTGGCTTGTAATGAAAGCGGCGAGGTCATGCACCTTGGAGGACCCAGGTGTTGAATCCGGAATCGCAAGGGGAGATTCGTATGCTGAATTTGTTAGTGTCGCGGTGCGATCACGGAGAACGAAAGCGAGGCAAAAGGATCGCTTGGGTCGGGCTCGGGGTAGCGCGCGGAGTATGGGAATGGAGGAGGCGGCTTGCGTTTGATTCGGTGCGCGCCGGTATCTTGGTACTGGTCAGAGGACATAACGTCGAGGCAGGTGAGATGGCGTTAGTACTACGTTGTCGTTTGGAGCCTCAGCCTCGAAGGCAAGGATAGGGGAGCAATTGGGATGCATTCATGGTGGCTGAAGCTGGTTGAAGTAAGTGAGAAAATGAGGGGAAAACGTTGCTACTGAAGGTATGGTGTGAGAAGGCCACGTTGGGGCGGCGTGGTAAGTAGGGTAAAGGTGATCACGTACATTCAGTTACTTGTTCGCATCGCATCCCATTGCTATTGAGCTATTGAGACTCGATGGCCGCGGAGTCTGCCGTAAAGTAAGAGCTTCGAGTAGTTTCTCTGTTGCTTTTATTCGGTGCCGTTCGCCTTCACCGCTGTCCAGACCACAATGAATGACGAATGTTTCGATCCCAGACCCGAATAACGACGATATCCTTACAGACAAACACTGGGAATACTTGCACTGTGCGATCATTGTGGTTCCTCCCAAAAGAGGTGCCGAAAGGACCGAAGTCCTTGTTGGCTGGAGTTGGAGATACGCATGGAAGCAATTTTGAGAAATGCAGGTACCATGACTACGGGTGAAGATCCTGAATAAATGAATAATAGGAGGCCACAGCCGTAACTTGAACTACCTGCCCTGCCCAATGAGGAGATAGAAGGCGGGTCGTCGGGTGTCAAGCCACAGGAGACACGGAGCCTTGACTTGGACTTGCGGCAGCCTGGCGGCCTGGACTCCTCACTAGTCGAGCTCATCACCTTTCTATTGTCCGGATCTCGACCTGCATCAGAAGGCGTTGGTGGAGACTGAATGTATTCAAGTGGGGTCAAGCACGACCTTCTCGATTGTTAAATGAAAGCACACGCACAGTGACCTTGCGAAATTTGGCTAATTTTCATCTCCGTAGTCACCGTATCCCCCAGGGTTAAAATTATTATTTAATAGGCATGTCGCTCGCCCGTTATGTGCTCGGATATGCAGCGAAGAAAAAGCGGTTTCCGAAGTATGCATGATCAGGAACGTTAAATATGATTCAAGGAACCCGCCTGAGGACGCCTGGGCGATGGATCCGGGGAAGGATCAGACGAACATCAGAAAAGAGAAAAACATGCGGCTGTGGGGGAAGGGGTGTGAGGTAGGGGGAACAAGTGTGGGGCTGCCGCCGTTCGGAAATAAACATGTGATTATAAAGTGGTATATTACCATTACCAACGGATCAATATCATCACGACGATGGAGCAAGATAACAAGATCTCCCTTTGGGTGAAATGGCGCAGAGAAGGTCGCAACGCAACACCGGAGATAACAGTTTCATGCATGCATGCATGAAATTGTATATGGGGATACCCCTAATTGCTGCAGCCCAAGCTGGGAACGGTCAGAAATAAGGAACGTTGGGTAGGGTGGGGGGGGGGGCTTCACAAAGCCGAGGAACGTACGTACGACACAAAGACTGCAGCAGAGCCGAAGGGAAGTAATATTTTCTCACCAAGTGAAATTGCGGGTTATTGCTTCGGAGCTAGCTAGTTCAAAGGTTTCAAGGGAAAGCTTTTCCTCATGAACCTGCCGACCAATGAAGCTGGAAGCTGGGAACTATGTGATTGATTGTTGATTGTTGGGCAACATTGGCAACAAATGCCGAAACACGTTGTGTGGACCCAGGCCAATCCATCGATTCCTCAGTTTTTCAATTTTTATCTTCGTTCAGTAGGAGAAAAGGCGCGCCTGATTGCTACTCCAATCGTCACGCACCCAGCAACACTATATATATGCCAACAACGAATGGACCATTGAGTGTGAGGAGGAGGAGGTAGGTAAAGAGTATTTCTTGTCTTGGGAGTGCTCATTGGAGCCACATGCTGGAGGGCACGCTAATTAATGAATGATACATGTACCCACGATACGCCGGGGTAGCTCAGCTGGGAGAGCAACAGACTGAAGTGTATATATGTGGCATATGTGGCATATGTGGCATTCTGGAGGTCCCGTGTTCAATCCACGGTCCTGGCATTTTATTTTATTCTTATTTTTATTTTATTTTCGGTGCTAGTAGCTGGCAGCCGGCAACAGCAAGCAAGCAACCTACTTCGACTGCACCGTACCAATAAAATGCCAACGCAAATCAATAGGTAACAAAGCCGCCTTCTCGTACCAACTTCTTGCACATAGTTCTTACCAAGCACCTTGCCCCCCATGTTGTTAGCATGCACTTATATGTCCCCCCGCCGATTTGTACTTGGACACCGCCACGAGCACGAGCGTCGGCGAGCCACCACCCCAGTGAATGTGGTGGTGTTGGTTGGTGGGGGGGGGGGAAGTGACAGCATTGACGCGGGCACGGGTCTCAGAGAGTGGTTTGCAACTCCTCGATGCGTTCTGGAGAAAGGAGGGGTGTCGATGGTGAAGTCGATTTAGCATAAATAAGTCGAATGTGGTGATTGTTGGATGAAGCGAAAACAGCTCGCGTCTAGCAAATAAAAGTAATATAATGTTGATAATGTTGGTTGGTTGTAGGGAAAAAATACCCCATAATGACCGACCGTGCTTTACTTTAAATCAAGCCTACCGTTTGATACTTAACAAGACTCGGACGATATGATCACAAATGTTGTACAGTCGATAACACAAAGTACAAACTTAACAGACGTACAACATTAGCGTCGCAAATATCATCATACACGGGATCGGAGGAGAGGTGGAGGGAGGGGAGGGGGGGGGGGTGTCAGTGCGGGACCGGACTGGCAGAAGTCAACAATGGGTGATTAATGCGTGGAACACACTATGAAGGTAAGGGGAAAAGGTGGGGTTTTGTGTGACATAAATGCAAGTCGTGTGAAGGAAGGAGAGGGGGATGGAAGACGGTAGGAATACTAAACGCATGGTACACATATCGGGGACGGGGGGCCGAAACTAAAGCATCAAACACAGCGAAACATAAGCAGTGGGGACAAGGATGGATGGAGTGGAGGGATAAGGTAAGGTAAGGAGACACTGTCCAATATTGCGCCTCACATATGCAAGTACTTCTCATTGAGGAGATGCACCTCCCGCGCAAGATAAGGCCAGTTGACACAACGAGCAAGCTCCGTACGCAGGCGCTCCGAGTTGCCAGCAGCGCGCTGTTGCGCGAGCTTCACCTCCCAACCGCAGAGATTATATAGTAAGCGCATGTTCGGTTGAATGAGCACGCTCAGACGGCGCGAGCGCACGATGAGATAAGCCTCAACGAGGGAGATTCCAAGGTGTTTCATGGTATATGCAATCGTGACCGTGGCGCTACGCGAAACGCCTACGCGACAATGCACGAGAACTTTGCCGCCTTGTTCGCGCGCCCGGTCAATCCAATCACAAATCGGGGCGAGTTGGGGCTCGAGCGTGTCGATACCATCATCGCACACTCCCTTGATATCGAGGACCTTGATGCGACCTTCGCGCTCCTCAATGTACAAGCTTCCCCGTCGCTCCGACGCTCCGCTCGTTACGGCTGTGCTGGAGGTTTTTGTGTCTGAAGTAGCCGCCGTTCCGGCAGTGCACTCGGAGGGAGGTGGAATGAGTGCACATTCCCCTACAGAGACCACATGGGTGATGCCAAGAGCGTGAAGCATATACGCATTTGCCGCGTGATTCCTGCGGGCCGGGGGATAGGCCTCACGTCAGTAACTTGATGCGACGTACAAACGCAGAGAGGAAACGCACAGATTACCGAGGTACAAGAATGGCAACACACGGCTTGGGAAACTCCCGTCGAAGCGCGGGTCATCAAACCAGACCTGATGGTCATCCACAAGTGATGGTAACAGCGGGCTCGTGCTTGCACGGGGCCGTCGCATTGATGCTATGGGAGCACTACCCGTCTCTTCGTAGGATGTAGACATCGCGCTCGAGTTGATAGCGGCGGGATTAAATGAATTCGCACGAGCGGGTCCAGAGGTGTGACGGCGAGAAGGCACCTTCGCTTGGCGATCACGTGCCAACTTGCCCTCCATAGCCTTCAATAATCGAACGTCAGTCTCGTAGACAAAGAAACTACGCTTCTTCGTAACCTGCAGATGGATGCCACCATCAGCCATCAAGGCGATTAGCACGAGCACTCCCACACTCACCTGCAGTTCGAGATACGCCTCTGGAAGGGTCATGCTGCGCATCGCCATAATTAAAGACAGAGCGAGCACGCTGCTCTCAGTATATCCGTCCGAGCTCCAGATCAGTATCTTTGCTGGTCGCCCAAAGCCGCGCTGCGGATTAGGCTTCAACAACTTTTCCAAAAATTCGAGGAAGAGTGTCATCTCATCAAGAATGGGGAGCAAAGGGAACGGGAGGTACACGATAGCCGCAGCATTAGGCGCAGGCCGCGGGCCCGTGCCACCGGAAGCCTGCCAACGCCGCTCGAGCTCCATCAGGTGTTCCTGAGCGCTGAGAAGAAACCCGAGGGAGGGCCTCGGGGCTCGCATTCGGCACTCGATGCAGACGTCGTACCCAAGCCCATCTGCAGGCGAATTTCCTGAGCTATCAAGTAGGTCGATGCCCCGCAATGAAGAATCGACCGGGTTGCCAGGGAAGAAAGGTACGTCGTTGACATTGCCAAGAAAAACCTGACCTAGGCCGGGGGTCCAAGGGTGGACATCCTCTAAGCTATCATCCAAGTCTGGGGCTGGTATGGTGAGGATCTCGCTTGCACGAGTCAGCTCTTGCATCTCATCTTTCTCACGTTGGGCGAAGTTGATGGTATGGGGGCCCACGAGAAGATGTCTCAGCTTGACACGCAACTCCGCGGGGGTAGCGTCGAGTACAAAGACATTATAGAGAATACGAGAACCAGAGCGTGTTTCAATCGCCTGTTTGAACTTCTCAGCCACGGAAAAGGCTGCTCTAGTTGCTCCTCGGCGGGAATAGACGACGATATCGGAAAGTGTTGCATAAATTGGCTGGGGAATGGGGGAGAGGATGTCTAAGCAAGCAAAGCCAAAGCAAAGCAAACAAAAACAAAAAAAGAAAGCGGGATGAATTGAATTGAATTGAGTTGAGTTGAATTGATGAGGACGGAAAAGGCGAAATTGGAATAGTCAAAAACGAAATTGGGTTAGAGAGAAGGAAGGTAGGAAAAGAGGAAGGAGGAAGGAGTAAGCCGCTCCACCTGGGGAAACGCTAAACCGATCGTCGCCCGGAGAACGACAGGGGTTCGAGCGGGGCGCACCCTTGATTCCCATTTGAGGATAGGATGTGGCGTGTGGGAAGCCCAAACATACCAACCCGTGGATAGCATAACCATAACGTTGACAGTTTGACAGTTTCTTGACAGGTTGTATGACCACGAGCCAAAGATGAACCCATGGGGTCAACCAACTTGTCAATCTGTCATCGTCATGTCCACGAGTGATGTTTCCATCAAGCCCGAAAATAAAATAAAAAATAAAAACAACAAACATAACAATATCACTTCTCCGCAGGGATCACCTGACCCTATGGGATAGCGAAGGCGCCCATATAATGAATCGAACTGCCCGCTCTCGAGAAAAAGAACCACGGAGATGAACAAATGATACACGTATCATTGGAGAGGGAGGGGGAGAAGTTCGAAAAAAAAAGACAAGATAGGATACGTACCACTTGAATATCAAAATTGCGCAATGAGATGCCTTCAGGGACTCGTAGGGGTACAAACTCAGCGTTGCCGTCTGCATTAAGTTTTAAAAGGTCCCGGGCCTTGAAACCAGAGACAATGAGAGGAGCAATACGAGGTCGAGGTTCAGGGGAGGGCGGGCCGAGAGGCATACATGAAGGTGAGGGCGAGTCGAGTGAAGTAGCTGGGGTAGAAGGCGAGGGCATACCGCGGGATCGGGAGGAGGTAGATGAAGTGGACGAGGACGAGACACTCCGGTCCCGAGCTATAGTCGTATTGGTATATATGCGTGGTGCACGGGATTTTACTGGGTGCATATGAAGTGCATTATTATCTGGATCGGAGGTGTCACAGGAGGGGTCGGTGGGCTCAGAAGTTGAAGTTGAAGGGGAGGAGGAGCCCGGCGCTTCTGGTTTGTGGTGATTGCGATCCAGGTCAAGGTCGGTATCTATGTCCACGTCCATGTCCAACTCAAACGAATGTCCAAGGTCACCGCCATCACTCCCGTGTTCGTCGTCATCAGAGTCGTCACTGGCGACGACGTCCGAATCACCGTCGTCGTCGCTAGAGGGGGTATCGTCGTCTTCACAAGCGACCCAAATGAGGCCACGGAAACGGGGCCGGATTATGGGGGTCGTCGGAGAAGTGAAAAAAGCGTTTTGCTGTTCATTATCGCCCTCAAGGCCATGGAGAAAGGGGAAAAGGACGTGGTCGGGTGCATGGGAGGTAATGGCGAGATGATGAAGGGTAGCAAACTGGGATGCGGAGAGGGCGCGAATGGGTGTATGCGGGGTAGGACGGGGAAGAAGAATAGGAAGAGATGAGAGAAAGTCGGGAGGATAATTGAGACCGTATATGACATTACTATCCTCTGAAGTAGGATGATGAACGGGTGCAGAGCTCATGCTATGGTGATGGGGGAGGAGGAATATGTTATGGGATGAGTTATGGGATGGGATGGGAATGGGAAAGAAGGCGTGGAATGAATGATTGTATGCTGTTTTGAATATGAGAGGAGTAGGAGAGGAGAGGAGTGAGGTGGAGATGGTGAGTGAGTGAGGGAGCGACTGTGTCTCTGTTGGCGGCGGGCGGGTTTACATCTGAGATTGCAGCCGCGTTCTCTCTTATCATATACATATACATATATATTATATATACCACCCTTCGATCAAAACGCAACTGCTGACCAGCCGCTTTTCATTCTTCATCATTAGCGTTTGCATCCCCCTTCGCTTGTTGTATTCCCATATGTCCACACCACTTGGCTCCTCACCCCGTCCCTGAAATGTATTTTAATACATTAAATAAATGTGGATACTAAGATATCAAGAAGAATTGTTTAGAGGAAGAGAGAAGAAGAAGGAAGAGGGGGGGGAGGCGTAGCGTAGTT